CTTTTTTCTTTGACGGCCTTTAAAACAAACCAAAAAACACATGCTTGAGTTTTTCACTTGCAGAAATGCGTGGTGGGTTGGAACCATTAATTAAGCTCTTTAAACTGAAGTCAAGCGCGCTCTTAGTCTTTTTAATAAAAAGGAAATCTGCTCCAGAAGCCATTCAATTCCGAAATTCATAAATTATAATTAAATATAAATTATAAATTATAATTGGCACTTGCATGTGTTAAAATATTGAATATGGACGCCGTAAACTTTAATCAATCTATTTGCATCCTGGTCACTTTCATATAATGATACAAAGTTCTACTTTGTTTTATATCTCCTAACAATCTGCTTGAATGATAACAAGCCACACAAAAAGACATGCTTCATGTACTGATTTTCGTTGGTCATTCTTTGAATTATCAAAACCCAGTAAGTAGTTCATTTGAACATCTTTTTAGTTGCAGACGTAAAATACATCAATGGACTCTGCAACGTTCTTCTCCCTAACTTAACAATAGTCGGGGCTGTGAGAACCAATACAGTTATTGTCAATTGAACGCTCTAAATTAACTGTGCAACTGTTATCGGTTAAAAACATTGCTCTCCACATTGTATTACCCGCAACTAACCTGAGTGTTCGAAATCTTGACTTTGTCGTTGAAAACGATCCAGGTGACAGATTCATAGCAGGGATGAGTGGTAAGGGAACCTTTGTAAGTGTAGTAACGTATTTTCTTTTTTCCGTCTTCATCGTCATCTACTTCGCTGTTAGCGACGTCATTGTCATCGGTTTCGTCTTCATCTTCCTCCTCGTCAACTTGTTTGTTATTGTACGGCATGAGGTAGTTTAGACGAATGCCGTAGGCGGTGGTCACATTAGTGCTGGCGCCTGAATATATTAAGATGATTAAGATGCGTAAATGGAATACTGAGCGATTGGGCTATTCTGCTTATCGTGACAAAGTGATTCACCGGTTAAAAAGTGTAATCTCTGTGAAAAGGTCGTTGCAGATTTGTAATTTCTTGAGCAATTCAAAGTATAGGAAGACGTCAATGAAAGAGAAGTGTGTTGTGAAACTTTGACCTAATTACACTTCACTGTGATAAACAAAAATTCCTTATCATTTTACCTTCGTCAATCACTTTTTTCAGTTTGTTTGCAAACTTTCCAAGAACCCTGTTCCCTGGGCATGTCGCCTGCAAAACGATACACGAAAAATCCCTGTTGAGCTTTTTATAAAGCTTTATTTAAATACAGTGTTAAGTTTGCGTTAACTTTAAGATGCAAAAGTTAAAAATAATTTGTATGCAGTTGGCAAATTGTATGGATACTACCGTGAGAAGGATTCCCAGAACTGCTAAGCCGTCCGGTTTATCCACTGCGTCCTTGAAGGAGTTGTACTTTTTGTTATAGAAAACCAAATGAAGCTGAAGGACGAACAAATAAACAACAATTGACATAACGAGAATAAGATGAAATAAAAATTTGTGTCGGTTGCCTAAACTTAATTCGTGTAATTTAAACTATAGTATTTAAAGTGCATAGTTTTACTCTTTCGTTATTTTGGAAAGGCATAGCGACACTTTCTTACTTCTCTCTTGTTTACTAAAACTACTACTTACCTGAGCTGGGAAAGTCTGGTTGTCGATCAAGTGCTCCGATACTCGACTGTTTTCGCATCCAAAATAAAAATGAAATTGTTGAAGAGCATACTCGTCCCGCTCCAAGGGACCTCCACTGAGTTTAGCGCTCCCCTTTGAGGTATCGATGTTAAAGGTAGGAGAATGGCCACCATTGACAAGCTCTCCCGTCACCAGGCCACATGGGTTGTCAAAACTAATATTGAGGTCAGGATAGCTTTTCTTCTTCACTTTCTTTGTCTCAATGTTTACAGGAGACTGAAGTTGTCCAATGTAAACATGATGTTTTTGTCGCTAATTTTTACTTGTATTTTTCAACAGCGTTTTTCTGGGAATTTGTAAATTTGATAATCTTTACCTAATGAAAGTAAGGTTGGATGATTGAGCTGAGCAACAAAGAAATTTGTAACCAATGGGAAAAAATTCGATAGCTTCGTATTGATAATATTGCAATCTTCATCAGTTTTCTAGACCTATTCTTGATTAATTTGTTAAACTTTCAGTAAAAAAAAAGTTTCGAATGTTGGCAACTTTTAAAACCCTACTGGTCTCGAACTTTGTTTGATTATCATTCATGACTAATCGAGAGAAAGACTTTACGAAACCTTGGTGCAGTAACGTCATCAGAGTGAGATTTATCAAATAATTTGTTAGCGACAACTGCATTCTTTTCGATCTTGTTTTAAAAGTTTTTTCGACAGCATGTAGTTAAATTATCCAAAACATGATTTTAAGCTGGTAAATTTTTGCTATTTTTTATTAAAACGAAGACAAAAAGAAGTGTACGTAAAATGTATGGACACAAACAAAACTAATAAAAAAAGCAAGTGTTGACCATAATTGACCATAAATCTCATTACCGAAAAAGAAGCTGCTGTGACACAAAAGCCCTAAGGTATAAAATTATACAGCTTGACTGAAAATAGAAACTGATATTTCTCCACTTACTTGAAATTCTTCGCTTCTTGAAAGACTTCTCCAATTTCGGATCTGTTTTCTTTGGCTAGTGTCTATAAATGTGCTATTTCATTTGGATGCAGCTCAATTTATGGAGTCGAACTTGATCAGTATCATCTGCAAAATATCCATAACGTCATCAATTCATCTCATAACAGTATTGATTCAACAGCCCTCGCTTGTAGATATAATGGCCCTCTGTATTTCTCAGCGACTACTACAGACAAATAAAAACACATATTTACTTATAGTAAAAAAGAAACAATTCCTTCTTTTATTTTTGATTAGCATGAAGGAATCTCTGAAATTGAACTCCTAAGAAGTAGGACGGTGAAAAGATAAACTTCATTATCTTTTCATCTTTGAACTTTTCTACAAAAAGACTTTCTGGCGGTTTAGTTTTTTAAGAAGGGAATATCACTGCATTATACTTTCGACAAAGGAAGCTTCTGATTGGACAAACACGCAATTTCAACTTTCTTACACCTCTCATTTACTTATATTATTATATTTATAGTTATTTCGCACCCCACGACATACATCTGCAGCGCGTGATCAAGACGTGTATGTTTAATTAACCCGTGCTTTGCACTAGTTTGTTTTTACTGACATTCGATTAAACTCCGTTAATTTTTGTTTTCAAATACTCAAAATAAAAATAATAAATGATGTAATTCTATTAAATGGCCAGTTTAGCTGAATAAGCTCTGATAAATAGCGGCTGGTGAATTGAAAATGTTTACACGATCAATAAAGTACACTTTTCGGCCCTAACAGCATTAATATATTTCTATATTTCAAAAAGTTACAGTACTTGAAAAAGTATTTTCAACCTCTCAACGTTAGCTAAGTATTAACCCGGTAAGAGCTCTATCGTGTTCTCATATTTTGATGGTAAACAGCTTTATTAAAATTATCCGACACTTTTTTGACTTTATTTTAAACTAGCAATTTGTTCTTAACGCAAAAAGTCAAGAGGAGAGTCTGAAACAATGACCAAGAGAAAACCCTTTTTCTGATAGATCTGAAATAGCCATTTTTATTACGTAAGCTTAAACGGGTGAAATATATTGGCAATGTTGATGTTCTTGTTACAGGTTAGAAACAACCAAGTCAGATTAATTCAATATCACCATTCGCCACTTAAAGCGAACTTTACACGGCTTTATTTGATGGTTCAGTGGAGCCCATTTTTTATAGATTTTCTTCGAAATCTTGTGCCTTTATTAAAGACACAGTATCTTCGTTTCAAGTGTTCATGGAAAATAGCAAGCACCTCTTTGAAAGTTTTTGTGCTAAGACATCTAATTGCGTTTTTAATATGAATTTATTTTCAGTTTTAATTTGAGAAAGGAAATTTTCTTTTTGTCTCACTGTCCCATTGGGCTCCTGATAGAACTGAAAGGTATCCACTCTTTGTTTTCTCTCGCTCACGGTGAAGCATTCGGGCAAGGAAAGCCAATATATCGAATTCCTTTTTCAGTTGCTTTTAAGATAACAAGCCCAGCTATTTTTTTCTTAGAACGATTCATCATACTTAATATTCCTTCAGTTCCTGAATGACATTGCTGTCACACAATAGATTTATTTTCCTTAGATATGTGAAGTGTTTCCAGATAATAAAAAACAGGATGAAATAGTCGGAACCGAGAGATAGTAAATAATATCCTTAAGAAAACTATTTACGTCACATAGTTCTCAGTTTACTTACATTAGTCAGGAAGTATGCTCTTAACTGAGATAAAGAAGGTAGGATCAAGTCTAATTGTGAGCCACGTCGCTAAAAGAACCCCCTGAAAATTTAATCTCTTGTTCATCGTTGCAATCCACACCATACCCCTCCATTCCCTCCATCTTCTGCCACCCTTGTTCCTTATTTGTTTACCTCATCAGCTGCAGATTTCCTCTAATTACCGCTTTTTAGCGCTTCTAAGCTGATTCAGACTATGCAATTTAACATAGATGTCCGATATAGCTAATTGCTGGAGATGGTAATCTATTCGATATTTTTTATTACCGCACATTTATTTCTTATTTCGGATATTGTTCAATTTTGATTCTCTGAGCGTTACCATTACTTTTTACGTCTTTTCAATAAGACAAGTTTCCTATTTTAGCAGACTAATTCTACACCATTCTTGCTCTCGATTTAAAAATAACCTTATGTATATATGTCCCCATAACATTCATTTTCATATGTTCATGCAGCAAGTTTAAGAATATTAAATGCGGAATAAGTAGGTTCTAATCTATTCAAAACTAGTAACTAATGTCTCCGTAAGTAAATGCCAAATTTCAAATTTCACTGCGGTGTCCAAAAATTGTAGTTCAAATTTTCATTGCAGTGTCCCAAAAATCGTATTTAACTGCTGAGTAACATAAGCAATTTATTTTATTTGAGGAGTGAACTTTGTCAATTCGAGTAACAATATCGCAAACTGGGCTACTTCACACAGCTTATAAATAATCGGCAATTTTAAAACATATTTTACCATTTAGGATAAAAACTAAATTATGTAGTTTAGACCTTTTTTCCACTGGTATGAAAAAAAATAATTAACGAGAAGGAGCTAGCAAAGATTTATTTTCTTCAATGGTTTACATTTTTGTGATATTTGACGATCTTAACATTACATAAATGGCAACACTATATTCGTTCCGGCATCTTAGCCATACAAGGATCTTAAACACATTATTGATAACATTTTACAACTGTCGCTTTTATTTTTAGCACGAGCTATTCGTTAAACGATATTGTCAGTTACCAAATATGTAAAAAAAGATAAAGAAAAAAAAGCTTCTCAAGCATAAACTAGCTATAACACGGTGTTGACGAGAGTGTCAAAACTAATGCATTATTAAACTTGAGCTCTCCTTTGCTCTATGATTGGTCCAAGCACGGGCCATGCTCTCAGCCAATCGTATTTCAATCAACAGGGTCATTTGCTTTTTACAGCGCTACTCACGTTTTTTTGCACGTGAGGTAGTTTACTTTCGGTTCTTTTCCTCTTCAGTTTATCCTTTTTTCTTTTGTCTTTTGCCCCTTGTGATTAGAATTAGGTTTTGAAAGATTTTAATCGACAATCGTTACTGATAAACATAATATCGGAGCACGAAAAAAAGGGTCATAAAGACGAATAGTTTTCAATATTCTGTCTATTGATCTCTGAAAAAGTCAAAAATATAATTTGCAAAGATAAAAAAATATGGATTTTATATAGCCTTTATACCGTTGTATGAACCTCAGTCAAAGCATCGACCGCACATTCACGTATTAACCCTTTGAAAGGAAGTTAGGACGACTCAGTTGTCAAACGTCAAACAATTTTTATTTAATCGTATTCCTATTAATAAGAAATTTTTGTAACAATACATCTAATGTGAAGGTGTAGTCTGATCGTCCGGGTGAGTGTAGTCCTGAGAAGGACTGTTGTCGGTGGCAGTGACTGACGTTTCGACAACCTGTGCGGAAGTCATCATCAGAGTCAAGTGAATGATTGTTGTCAGTAGAATGTTCTTATTCCAGTTCGTGTGAAATGATCGGTTGGTTTTGCCGTGATGTTATTGGCTGTAAGACTCAAGTGACGTAAGTCGGTCGTGATTGGTCTGTTTCGGTCTGTCGGTAAAGTTAGGTTGTTCTTTTTCGGTCGTTTGTGATGTTTATGTCGTGAATGAGTCGTTTGTATGGGGCGGGTAATTGTTGACATCTGTTTAGGGGAGTCTGTTCTAAGTTAGTAAACCAGCTTTCCAGAGTCAGTCGTTGAAAATAGTCAGTGCTGTAGGTTAGGCATTGCGCAGAGTCCCAGTCAATGTTGTGGTTGGTAAGTCGATGGTGTTCAGCAATGTGATTGCTGACATCACCTTTCCTCGTCGCCCGTCTGTGTTCAGTCAGTCTTGTTGTCAGACTTGGTGTAGTCCTTCTCAGGACTACACTCACCCGGACGATCAGACTACACCTTCACATGTTACCCCCGGGTTCAAACCATTTACTGCAATACATCTAATGGCTGAATTCGAACTTCGTACGAAAGTACCACACTGCTAAATATCAAGAGTTTTAATCAAACATGTAATGAATATGTTAAAACCGAATTCTTAAATATTGATAAAATAATTTTATAAGATAAATTTATTCCGGGATAAAAATATAGGAATATTTTAAAATCAGATACAACGATATTTACACATTTTTCTCACATTACAAACTACGGCTCTTTGGCCTTCAATTGTCTCCTTTTCAAAGCAAGACCTAGTGCCGCTTGATCGAAGGATTGATAAATAATGCTATCCAGCGGATAACGGTTAACAAAACGTAATTTGCTATCCACTAACAGAGTTTTATCCATTGGATAGTGCTATCTACCCCCTCGAACAACAAGGGCCAGTAAAACTGTTATTTGCTGCTGTCGGTTGTTTAGTCCCTGCTTGAGACGACAGAATACACCTTGCGTTTGTACAGCGGTTGTACCGGTCTAATGTTGTCACACATCAAACCAGGAGCACCACCAAACTGTGCCTTCAGTTTTCTGAACTTGTTGAGCTGAGGAAAAAAAAATCAACTTTTGTAAGACCGAGAGAGTACAACAACCTCCTTCCAATAGCTTGTTTCTTTGACGGCTTTGACATGAAATAAAGAGGAACTATCGAGTTTGGCTTGTAAAATGCAAAAGCTGTTTGAAAGCAGTCACAATCTCTTGCATAAAACTCGCTGTGGGCAGTAATCCATCAAATTAACTCTTTGAAATGTCGACTCAAGCGCGCTCTTATTTTCTTGTTAAAGGAGAAAGCTGCTCCAGAAGCCACTTAGAAGTATGATCAGAAATTATACATAGCACTTTGCCCGTTTTGATGTTATTTAAAAAAAGAAATTGAGTATGGACGCTACTCTTTAAAATCATTCCTCACTTGCACCCCGGCCGTTTTTCGGCGACGAAACATAGCTTTACTCTGTTTTCCATCTCGCCATCTTCCATATGGTATCTCTATTCACGCCACCCACAACTAACCTGAGTGTTCGAAATCTTGACTTTGTCCTTGAAAACGATCCAGGTGACAGATTCATAGCAGGGTGGAGTGGTAAGGGAACCTTTGTAAGTGTAGTAACGTATTCTCTTTTTTTCGTCTTCATCGTCATCTTCTCCGCTGTTAGCGACTTCATCATCATCTGTTTCGTCTTCATCTTCCTCTTCGTCAGCTTGTTTGTTATTGTAGGGCATCAGGTAATTCAGACGAATGCCGTCCGCGGCGGTTACATTGGTGCTGGTGCCTGAAAACATTGAGACGATTATGATGCGTTGATGGAACAGTGGGAACTAAGGCGATGGGAATCTGATTCATTTGCTTACGGTGACAAGGTGATTCACTGGTTAAGAAACTGCCGGAAAATTTAGGAAGACCTCAATCAAGTACAAGGGAAATGTCTAGCGGGCCTTATTTTAGAAATTAACGTCTGTTTGTAAACTTCAAACTAATTGCATTTCACTAATCACATGTTTACTTCTATTAAAGTTCCTTATTTACCTTCGTCAATCACTTTTTTCAGCTTATTAGCTAAATTTCCTAGAACTCTGTTTCCTGGGCACGATGCCTGCAAAGCAATGCCCCAAAAAAGCATAGTAAATCTTTTTTTAGAGCTAATACAATGTCTAGTTTAACTTTTATAACATGCAAGAGTCCAAATCATTGGTATTTATGAGGCATTTATTCATTTATTCATTTATTCATTTTGGTATTTATTTGTGAGGCGTGAGTAGTCCAGTGGTCAGTGCGCTGGACTCTAGGTCAGATGGCCCGGGTTCAAGTCCTGGCTGGGGCTTGACGTTGTGTCCTTAAGCAAGACGCTTCACTCACATTGCTTCGTCTTCTCGGATAGGACGTAAAGCCGGAGGTCCCGTCTCCTGCACCTATCAATTAGTTAATTTCGGCAAGGGACGTTAAAGAACCCACATCACGAGATTACTGTGATGTGGTCTGGCCTGTTTACTGGGAAGGGGGGGAGGGGGCATCTGTAAAAATTTCTCCTTTATTAATTGTAAACTGCCGCCGGCAGTCTGGAAAAGTCCCCCGCACAGTGTTGTAAAGCGCATTAGAGCATTTACATGGAAATGCGCTATAGAAATTGATCTATATTATTATTATTATTATTATTATTTA